TTTTTCAAAAAACTTATTACTTTCCCTGACAAAGTTTTTCCCTCAAAGGCTGGCAAAGAAAAATTCAAAAATTCCAGTTCATTGGTCGTGGTTTCCAAGGGGAAAAAAGTAGTAAATTCCACTTTTAGAGTCACAAAGTGGAGGGCTTGGGAACAAAATTGAGATTTTGCTGCCAATCCCAAAACGGGTTTTCTGGTGGATCTGGGCACATAGGGTGGTTGTCCGGGGGGTTGTGGGTTTTGGGGGGGCTGGGGGCGACGCTCCCTTTTTCCTTGAAAAACAGTCAGCAGCAGGGTCCCAGCCCCGGCTGGTGAGTCACGCATGGCGGGCATTAAACCATCACCACACCACCCCTTTGATGCCCCGTGGTCTATCCCTCAAAGTGTAGCCACATCACCTCACTAAACAAAATCTAAACCTGGGAGGGGCCCCGGGGGTTACTCCGCCCCCCCGGCACAGCATAGGGGACACACCCCCAGCGCATGCGGCGGGGAACTACCGACGCTTCAGGGGGAAAGATCCCTATCACTAAACCAAATGATCGTCAAACCAATAAAAACCAAAACCACATCACTATCATCATCATTACTGAAGTCAGAGCCTGGCGACGCGAAAATATTATTTTCTCTTGCTTGACAAACCACCGCGATTTACGAGGCCCCCAAACCCCGAGGTAAAGGGTTAGGATCGTCAGGGTTTTCTGCACTATTATTGATATCCTGGTCATCCTTTTTTTTCACTAACGACAAACATAAATTTGCTTCATTTTCCCTTCCCTAAGTGTCAGAACTATCAATAGGAAGAGGGATCCCCCCTTTTCCGGGGAGGAGAGCTACTTGCACGAGGCATGGTGAACAAGGTAACTGAGCGCGTCCCCACAAAGCTTGCGGGCGCCTAGAGTTTTTTTTTGGGCCCCACCCACCACGCAACCCGTTCTCTCACATGTAGGCCCCTTAGCCTTTTGCGCAAATTGGGCGCTAGAATTTTGGCGTAATCTACGGTTTGGACACAACGTGAAGCCGTAGATCCACGGACGGACCCTGAAAGGGTTAAAATAATTTATTGGGGTTTCTGAATTATTTAAATTTCATTGATTGCATGGTTGTTTCTTTTTTTTGATAGTACAGGGCCTCCATCACAAAACCGGGCC